GGCTGGCCCCTCTCCCTCTCTCCCTCTCTCCCTGCCACCACGGAGCGCTGGCTCCCGGCATGCCGCGCGCTGACAGCCTTATAAATAGTCGCCTTTGCGGGCGGCCAGCGGAGGACTGGCAGGGCACGCACTGGCCCCTGGCGCCCACCCACACCCCTCCCCCAGGTCAGTATGTGTCTGTGCGTGGGTGTGTGCCCCAGCGTGCACGCACCTATTTGGGAAGCGTGGAGCCGCACCTGGGAGGGGGAGGGGGCTTGTGTGCGGTTGCAATTGTATCCATGCCTGTGATCTGTGCGTCTCTGCACGTCTGTCTTTCACAGGCTCTGGGTGTCTGTGGGAGGCTTTATGGATCAGTGTGTGTGTGTGTGTGTGTGTGTATGTGTGTGTACTGCTGTCCCTTCCAGCCTCCTAGACAGTCATGCCTTTGTCCTGACTGGCATGCCTGGGGCTGTGGGTCCCTGCCCTTGGCACACTCAGTTGGAGCTGGGAGCTGGAGTGTCTGTGGCCTGCCTCCCTGCCCTGAGGACCTGGGCAGGGGCAGCCTATTCTCCGCAGGGACTGTTCTGTCACGTGACTTCTAGGCTTGGGTGGACAGGAAGCTCCTTGGGTACTGGGCCTTCTGCCACAGGCTCTGTAGGAGCCCTAGGGTCACCACTCTCAGCCACCCACCCAGGATACTGCAGCAGCAACAGGACAGGGTCTGAGGGCACAGGCCCAGAGAGGGGCTACCAGCTGCCTAAGGTCACACAGTTGAGTGGTAGAGCTGGGGTGGGCACCCTAGTCTACTAACCAGCCACTGGACAAGCCGGACTTGGGTCCAGGAGCTGGGACACCTGGTCCTTGGCCTGGTCTTGCCTTGGCTCTGCCTGGGATTAAGTTACTGCCCCTTTGCGCCCAGCTCCCCAGGCCCTTCGGCAGACCACCCAGTCACACGAAGGAGTTGCTGGGCCTCTGGCCTGTGGGCCTTATAAGGCCTGATGCGGAGCTTGTAACTCAACCCGACCCTGGCCCCTAAGAGGCCTCCTCAGGACCCAAGTTATTTTCAACCAAGGAAGTGACAGGTGCCAGGAAGATGGTGGGGCTTAGGTTACCGGCAGGGGGAAAGGTGAGGTGGGATTCAGGCTACTCCTTAAGGTGCCACTGGAGGCTGCCCCTGACCTGGGGACCCTCCTCCCGCACCAGCCGTGAAGTGCTCTTGGCACCTCCTGCCCATCCTGAAGCACAGTCAGCAGGGCTGATGAAGGGCCCACTAGGAGCCAGACTCTTAGGAAATACAGACCCGAGTCCAGCCGCAGCCTTGAGCAAGGCTCTCCTCCTCCCTGGGCTGTGATTCCCACTCCAAAGACTCACCAACCCTCAGCCCTCCCAAATCTGCTAAGGGGATGGAAAGAGGTCCCTGAGCTCTGGGCTCAGCCTGTGCCAGGCACAATCTGGTGGGGGACACAGTCCTGCAGTCAGAGAGGTAGGTGTGTGGCGTGCCATGCTGGGAGACGTGCAGAGAAGGCACCGACCAGAGTAGGTGGGGTGGGCAATCAGGAAGGCTTCCTGAGGGAGGGGATGCGTGAGCTGAGCCCTGAGCCACAGCCAGTTGAGAGATTGGATATGACATCAACAATGGTTTGCCCAACAGCAGCATCGTAGTGGGGGAGGGGCACCAAGCAGTCCCAGGGCAGCAGATAAGGAGGGGGGGTGGCAGTAGATAAGGAGGGGGGCAGGGGGAGGGATCCCTGGCTTGGAAAGTTCCCTAACAGGCGAGTTACATGGTTTAACGCTTGTCAGAGAAAATCTTAGAGCGTGTTGGGCAGGCAGGGAGACAGGCCGTGGCCCCCTGCTCAGAACCAGGACATGATGGAAAGGAGAGGCCCAGGCAGAGCAGCCGAGAGGTGTTGAGGGTCAGCGTGGGTATGCAGAGCTGGGTACAGGGGTAAGGGGTCAGGGGGGCGTGTCTCTGCAGAGTCTGACGGGTCTGGGGTGAGGCCACAGGAGTACTTGGTGCTGATGTACATGCAGAGGGAGGGCCGTGGTGGAGCAAGGGGTGAGAGGGGCAGAGGCTGTTGGGATAGAAGCTGGCCCTGGGAGGCTGAAGGTGCTCTGAGCACTCTGAGTCAGGGGTTCGGGCAGATGCCCCTTCCTGGAGCCTCTGAGTCTCTTAGAGCATCCAAACCCCATTCTAGGTGGGGCCAACTGGGCCCCCAGAGACGAGCGAGGTAGTCCCTCGAGGTGACGGAGGGCCCTGGGGAGTGTTGTCAAGGTGCCTCTGACTGGGCTCCGCCCTGTGTTCTGCTGGTTGCCAAGGCTTCCTGCCTGTCGCTGTCCACATCCCCTCGGGGCTCTGTCGTCCTGTCTGCCGAGGCCTTCCAACTGGACGGGTGTGGACGGGGATCCAGTGAGGAGTGTAGAAACTTGAGGCGCAGAGTGGCAAGGTGACTTTCCCAAGGTCACTGAGCCTCCATGGCCTTCCCTCTGTGCTCAGAGCACATGGTGGGGCGGGCCTCGTCGGGTCTGGCTCAGCAAAAGCAGGGGTGGGAGGGGGAGAGGGGTCACCACATGGACCCACCTCACCTGTGCCTTCGTCTTACAGAGAGCTGACCCGGCTCCCCGGACCTCGGCAGGATGACAGGTACAGAGGCTCCTCCCCTTTTCCACTTGCTGCCGGGGGCACAGGGGGGCCATCTGTGCATGGGTGTGCTCCTCTGGAAGCCTTCTGGGAGGGGCCAGAAGAGACCCTGGTCTACCAGAGATAGGGCGCCTGGCTGGAGCCTCCAGCATAGCCAATGCCACCGCTCCAAGATGACTTGTAGAGCTACTGGGTCCTCCCCGAGGCCCCTGGGGGCCCCAAGGGGCAGCTTTTAAGGTGGGGTGAAGGTTGGGCGTGGAGGTCACAGGTATGCAAAATGCAGAGCCTGAGGCTCACCGAGGACCCTTCCCTGCTTTCTCAGACTGTCTCCCCACTATTCTGTGTCTCCCCTGGGCCCTCCAGACTTCTGGGGACAGACCTGGGTGGAAGGCAGGGGCAGGAGCAGGCAGAGAGCCCAGACTGGGTCCACCCCAGGCCCTGGCAGCATACCCGTCCCAACCCTGGCCCTGTGCCTTGGTTGGGGTGGGTCTTAAAGGCGCTGAGAGGCCCTGGCTGTTGCTGTGCAGCTGAGGCTGGTGCCCACCCTGCCAGCATCAACGCTCTGGCCATCAGCCTCCATTGGGGGGACCACCTTCCACACCCCCAGTTCACGTCCTTCACGTGGGTCTGTGACAGTTCTCTTAGGACTCAGCCAGGGAGGCTGCTGGGAGCTGCCAAGTCCCCACCTTTGCTGGTGCAAGGGCAGAGAGCCAGAGGGGGTTGGCAGCTTCCTTCCTTGGCTCGCACAGCAAGGTGGGATCTTACTAGTCCCTTTTCCCAGGGGGCTTTAAAAATCCTCGGCAGAAGGTCCAGGAAGGGGGACCTGGGCCCCAGTTCCTACCCTGTGGCCCCTGTGAGCAGGCCCCTGTGTCTATAGGCCTTAGTCTCCCCCTGCAGCATGGAGGAGCTTCGGTATGGCTGACTTCTAAGAGCCGGTGAGGTGAAGCCGAAGTTGCAAAGTCAGCTGGCCTCCCTTTCTGGGCAAGGGCTCCACATGCCCACCGCAGCCCTCCTCCCCAGCAGCCGTCTCCAGGGCAACGTGTGTTGTGGTTGCCAACTCGACATTAGTTGGCCTTGGAAGGCGGGCAATGGCCAGAGGCAGGGCTTGGGAGGGGAAGGGCCGGGGACACAGCAAAGCAGGAGCATGGGGACCTGCTGCTCAGTGCCGGGTGACCTCCACAGTGAGGGAGCTATCAGAGCCAGAGGTGACCTCCACCCTGCCGTCCAATCACCCTCTGGGACAAGTCACTGGGGTTGGCCTCCCGGCCTTTGCTTGGAACTCCCCCCCCTCCCCCTGCCTTCTCCCAGCCCCTGGGCTTCCCTCGCCCCTACATCTCTGCTTGATCTGGGCTGTAGCTGGTCTGCCCACTGCCAGGCGCACAAGCCTCGTCTCGCCCTGGTGCCAGGCCCAGGGAAGCCCGGTGCACGGGTGCCACCTCTGCCTGTGCTTCAGGCAAATGCCCGAGCCACTGCTCTTTCTCTCCCGCAGAGAAGCTGAAGACAACAAGGATCATCTTTGTGGTGGGTGAGTCGAAGGCAGATCCCACCGCAGGGTGGGGCAGCAGGAGGGGGTCCTGACAGGCTCTGGGGGGGAACTCGGCCTGGGGGCTGCCCCCTGGGCTCTCCGTGGATGGGTGACCCGGGCAGGCCCTAGCCTTCCCGAGGCTCCATGTCAAGATGCTGAATGGGTGGGCGCTTGCAGGTGGGCCTGGCTCCGGAAAGGGCACCCAGTGTGAGAAGATTGTCCAGAAGTACGGCTACACCCACCTCTCCACTGGGGACCTGCTGCGGGCCGAGGTCAGCTCAGGCTCGGCCAGGGGCAAGATGCTGTCAGAGATCATGGAGAAGGGGCAACTGGTGCCCTTGGTGAGTGGGCCCTGGGGGTGGGGGCAGGACAAGGTGGGTGCCTACAAAGTCTATAGCAGGGCTGACCCCCACCCTCTCTGGCTCTGATACTTCTGCCAGTCACTCCCCACTACCCTGGGCAGAGACTTCCAGGCCCCTCTAGGACAGGCAGGCCCTGCTGACCTTCAGCCTCACGGTGCCAACTCCCCCCTGGTTCGTCCCCTTGGCACCTCTGTTTTCTGCTCATTGGGTGAGTTCTCAGACTCACCCAAGCTTCAGATCTCCCTCCCTCCCCACCCTGCCTCCCTACTTAATATTCTAATAACCCCCTTTCCAGCAGACGAGACTTTCAACTCCCATAAAGAGTTCTGGTCTCAGAAACCCACAGGGGTGGTTCCACCCTGTCCTGTAGTGTCGCCCCGAGCCACGTGGACCTGGTGGCCGAGAGTCATGGTTCTGCATTTTGTTTTGCTGTTTCAACCCCAAACTTGCCCCCGCCACCACCACCACGGAGCCCATTCTGACTCACAGTGACCCTGTAGGACAGGGTAGAACTGCCCCTTTGGGTTTCTGAGACTAGATCTTTATGGGAGTGGGCAGCCTCGTTTTTCTCCCACAGAGCGACTGGTGGGGTCGAGCCACTGACTCACTGAGGGGCCCCTCCGCCCCAGAGCCCCTTTGTCGTGCTTGAAACTTGATAGAGCAACGTGGAATTGTCCCTTCTCAGAACTGGAAGCCCCCTGAGGGCAGGGACAGTCCGCTTTGTTCACTTCTGTGTCCGCATCTCAGTTCTCCAGGACCTGGCTGGGAGGAGGGGCTCAGTAAATATTGTTGAATGAGTGAGTGGTCCAATCAGTCAAGTCATTAGTGTCCCCAATAAAATGAAGGGGGGAAAAGTCACTAGTGAAAGACTTCCTGGTTTCTGGAGAAGAAGACTTTGTCTGAGGCACCTGTGTCTGAGACACCAGGGCTTCCGGGAGCAGGACCAGCCCGAGCAAAGCCCTGGAGGAGGGTAGGAGGATGGGCCCAGCGCCCCTTCTCTTTTGCTGTCCACCCCCTTGCAGGACACAGTGTTGGACATGCTCCGAGACGCCATGTTGGCCAAAGTGGACACTTCCAAAGGCTTCCTGATCGACGGCTACCCGAGGGAGGTGCAGCAGGGGGAAGAGTTTGAAAAGCGGGTAAGGCATCAAGCTGGCAGCTGGGAGGCAGGGCAGCTCCCCTCCAGCCCCCACCGACATGGAGGCTGCCAGCGGAGCAGACAGGGTTCTGGGAGTGTTGAGGGATCGAGTCCTGAGGGGCAGGAGGGCAGAGGAGGAGGAGGAAGAGGAGGGGTCTGGCTCAGGAGAGGAAACCAAGGAAGGCTTCCTGGAAGAAGAGGCACAGAAGGGGAAGCACCAGTCTGGGGAGTTCGCAGAACGGGCCTAGGTTTCCTTGAGCACTTGGGACCTCAGGCCAGTCACGCAATCGTCCGAGCCTCACTCTCCACCTGCACCATGAAGGGAGAAGTCGCAGTTGCCTTTGGGGCACCTGTGGGAGTAGAGAGAGGTACTCTCCAAGCGTGGGGTTGGCACCCCAAAAACACACAGGCAGAGCAGTGTGGCACAGCACGGACAGGTCTGGAAAGGTTGGGGCCAGTGTGGAGAGACGTAAAGGTGTGGGGTGAGGCATTTGAGGGTGGTGTGGGAGAGGGAGGGGTCAGGTTCGGCTAGAGGCCTTAAATGACGGGGAGAGGGGCGTCTGGTCTCCCTCCGGGGGCCACAGAAGTCTGGCTGGAAAGAGCAGGCCTTGAGGAGGTCCTCGAATGGGTAGGAGAACCTGCCACAGGACGAGCACCTTGCATCGCACACACGTGCACACAGCGTGTTTTCATGCACATGGCCGCGTGCCCAGTGCATTGGCACACGTGTACATGGCACACATGCACACACCCATAGGCACACACAGTGCATGTGGAGCTTACACACATGCTCAGGAGCTCAGGAGCATGTGCACATACAAGCCCATGCACATGCATCCACACAGGTGCATCCGCGTGGACACGTGGCTGCACTTGCATATGGCTGCACACCACACATGCATACTCACACATGCACATCCACACGTGCACACCCACGCGTGCATACCCACACATGCACACCCACACACGCACTCTCAAACTTCTGATGCTGCAAGGGCATAATGAGGGAGAGAGGACCTCCGTGTCTAGGAGCATCAAGGGTGTGGGGCTCAGGGAAGGACCTTCTCAGGAAGGACTGGGCATCCCATGAGCTAGGGGATGACTCAGACACTCCCCACCCACCATGCTGTCTCCACTGGCCGGGGCTGTCTTGGGGATGTCATAGCCCCCAGACTCACCCAGTTGCCGGAGGCTGTATTTCCTGACCTCCTGAGAGTGCCTGCTCCACTCTGGGCCGCAGTTTCCCTCTCTACAATGGGGGTTGGCACCAGATGGGTAACACCACTTCTGAGCCTAAGAGCTGCATCTTGAAATGGTGTTAATGAAGGTCCCCGCCCTTCCTGGGCTACCACTGGGTCTTCTGCGATGGTGGGCTCTGTCATAAGGCTTTAGCCTGGCGTGGGCTCCGGAGGCATGGGGCAGCTGATCTTCTTGGCATTGACACCAGGGGGCACCAAGGCCTCGCTGATGGAGGAAGGGCCTGCCTGGGGGTGGTGGCCGGGAACTTCCCTCTTCCCAGTGGGCAGTGCCTAGCATCCGTCCCCAGATGGAATGCTCACTGCCCTGACAGCTGGAGCTCAGCATTTCCAGCCCAGAGGCTCAGAGAGACCTCATAGATTGCCTCCCTCTGCCTGGGGCCCGAGAGGTGTGTAAAGAGCCCTTGTCCTGGGGCTCAAGCAACCAGAGACTGTGGGACTGTGCGCTGTGGGAGCTCAGTGGCTGGTGGAGTGCCCAGACCTTGGGGCCGGGGTCCTTCACTACTGGGACTAGGTAGTGGGGTTCAGCAGGGCGAGTGCCTTTCCCAGGGGCACAGTGACTGGACGGAGTCTAGGTCAGTCTGATGCCAGAGGCCAGCTTCTCCTTGCCAAGCCCCTGACAATGCAGCACCCCCAGGGCCTGGGCACAGAGGCCTGGGAAGCAGCCCTTCGGGACCGACATCACCCATACAGGAGGGGTGAAAGACCCAGATGGGAATCCTGAGATGGGACAGCTGGGTGGCCCTGCTCACCTTTACCTGTCACCCCTCCCCTAGCTCCAGTGGAAGTCCCAGGCCCTTTCCTCAGGCTGGGCGTGTTTGGCTCAGGCTGGGCCAGAGCTGGGAGCTGGTGAGGATCGAGAGGCATGGCCCCTGCTCTCGGGAACTCCTGAGCAGGCAGGGGAAAGGGGCCGCCCTCTCTGGCTTCCGTGTAGAGGTGTAGAGGCAGGCCTGGGCAGGGGCCTGGGGACGATGCCTTGCTCAGAACCCCTGCGGCACTCTGCAGGCCCCCCACTCACCCCTTGTTCCTTTGCCAAGTCACCCTCTGGCATTGTAGGGTACAAGGCAGAGCCCCTTGTCTCCAGGGGGCCCAGCCTGGCTGGGGTGAAATAACCAGAGAGGCCCTTTGGGCACATCTGGAGGGAGAAGTGGAGGGGCTGGAAGAGCATGCTGGGGCATCTTGAGCTGCAGGGGAGTGGGTGGTACTGTGGTGAGGGTGAGGGTCTGGAGGGGAAACAGCCTGAGGACAGGCCTGGTGGCCAGCCTAGAACAGACAGCAAGTTGCCAGTGTGGCTGAAGCCAGCAGAGTCAGGAAGGCGGGCAGTGTAAGCTGGGGCGGCTTAGCCCTGCCCATGCAGGCCCTGCCCAAGAGAGTGGTTTGGGCTTTCTCCTGAGGGCACCGGGGAGCCATGGCAGAGGTTTGAGCAGGGGATGGACAGCCCCCCAGGCTGCCTTGGAGAAGGGGGTTAAAGGCCCGCGTGAGCCTCTGGTGGGGCTTCATGAATGGGAACTGGGGAGGAGGTACGCCCAAGGGGCACGGATGGAGCTCTGTGACCTGTGCCCCACCTGCAGATTGCACAGCCCACGCTGCTGCTGTATGTGGACGCGGGCGCCGAGACCATGACCCAACGGCTTCTGAAGCGTGGCGAGACTAGCGGGCGTGTGGACGACAATGAGGAGACCATCAAGAGCCGGCTGCAGACCTACTACAAGGCCACGGAGCCGGTCATCGCTTTCTATGAGAAGCGCGGCATCGTGCGCAAGGTGTGCCCACCCGCCCGAGAGGTCTCCCCCGCCCCCCCCAAGCCCAAGCCAGCTGCTCACTTGGCTCGGCCTCAATTTCCTCTGTGGCCTTGGGCTAGCCAACCATTCCCCCACTGGTTCACCCAGGGGCTGACATCTCTGGCTGGCATCTGCAGAGAGGCCCACGAGTCCCTCCTGCCTTCCTCGATGGGTCCCCAAAGCCGGGCCGTAGGCGTCTCATCCTTCACAACCCATCTCCCCCACAGGTCAATGCCGAAGGCTCCGTGGACAGTGTTTTCTCCCAGGTCTGCACCCATCTGGACACCCTGAAATAGTAAGGTCTGGAGTCTCCCCAGCTCAGAGTCCCCACCCAGCCCTGTCCTGCCTACACGCTGTGCTGGCCCCGGGCCCGGTACCTCCACCCTCCCGGCGGGAGCTCAGACAGAGGAAGCTCCGTTATCCTGTTTTCACGGACAGCCGAGCACTAAAGGAATTTGCAAGGACATTTGGTTTTACTCCTTTTTCTTTGTTGCCAGGCGGGGTTGAGCCACCTAGTGTACCTGCCCCTCCTCGCACCCCCCAGCCCCTGACCCTCCCACTCCTCCTGGGCCCTGTGCTCATCTTTCACAGCTGCCCCTCCCCTCGCCACGGTGGGAGCCCCAGCACCCCTCCTCAGGCAGGGCGAACGCCTGCAACCCGGCGGTGGTCAGCCTGGCTTCCTTCGCCGCCTCCCCGTGCGGGTTCAGCCCCGACCCCTCTCCTCTCTGAGTCTGTTTTCTCATCATTGGTTCCAGAGCGGTTCTGTCCGCAGCGTCCCCTCCTCTCGCCCTTGGGCCTTGCTGGGCTGAGTGGGCCCAGGCACAGGTGTCCTCTTAGCCTGGGCTCAGGATGATGCTCCGAGGGTCTTGGAAAGGTCATGGTGATGGAGTGGTGGGGTCATGGTCAGGGGTGAGACCAGGAACAGTCCACTGTGTGGCCTTGCACAGTGACAACAGGCCCCCTCCCCCTCCGAGCCATTTCCAGATCTGCTCCTCCGGCTCAAAGATCGCTCCCCATCTGCTCTTCAAGGTTGGAGCGGGAACTGCCCCCAGCAAGGACTGGGCTGGTTGTTCTCTTGTCCACTAGGAGCTGGAGACGAGGGTCAGGGCCAGGGATGTCTCCAGGTTGCCGAGAGTCCCCTGGTGACCCTGGTGAGAACCAGCTTCCTCTTATCCCTTGTGGGCCTTATCCTGGGGGCCGAGGAGCCCCTGGGTGCTGCTCCTGTGTCCTTCACACCGCTCCAGCCCCGCCAGGGCTCCCATTAAAGCTCAGGACCCAGCCTTGCCCTCTGTGCCGCCCCTCAGTGGCACCACTCCTGAGGTTGGCAGATGAATAGACTTCTCCTTCTGTGCTTCCTTCTATTACGGCGGTGGGACTGGCGTTCTCTTTCCATTAGTGATCAGAAATCTCCCTTTAGTATATGTGCCGCTGAAGCAAACACCAGAGATCTCCTTTTAAATAAATCTATGTACATTATACGAGGTGAATCAATTGGACACGGATCACGGAAGCAATACATGCAGTCCGGGGAGCTAGGAGAAGACAGGCACCATGGCATGGGTGGTAGGGAGTGGACACGGCCAGGCCCTGCCTGACCCACCTGACCCTGTGAGCCATCTGCCCCGGGAGGCTGTCACCCACTTGCTCTGCTCCTCACCGAAGCCTGGGGGGTAGGGTGGGGGTGCAGGGGAGCAGCAAGCTTGGGAGAAGCTCTGTGTGACCTCCATCTCTGGGTCTCCATGTGTGAGCTGGGCGAGCCCACACACACACACACACACACACACACACACCATGCACACACACCTCCTAGCTCAGTGTTGTCTCAGGCTCAGGATGGGGACTAGTGGAGGCACAGGTCCAAGGTTAGGAAGAGAGAGAGAGAGATTCACCTGGCCAAAGGTCCCTGATTTTACCTTTTATTTATGAATTCAGGCATGTTCAGCATGTGAAAAACCCCGAGCTAATCCAAACTATTCACTGCAGTGTAACTTTCTTTATTTTGCTAAATACGAAGAGGCCCCAGAACATTTCTGGGAAAATCCAGTGATGGTATCACTCCACTTGTCCATGACGTTTTCGAAGCCCCTTTACATCGATGCTAAACTCACTGCCATCAGCTCCGTTCTGACCAGAGCAACCCTCTACCGAAAGGAACCCCTTGCCATCAAGTGGAGGCCGGCTCATAGTGATGCTGTAGGATAGAGGAGAACTCCCCCTGGGGGTTCTGAGGTGGTCAATATTTATGGGGCAGACCGCTGCTGCTTCCCAGGGAGTAACTGCGGCCTTTCAATGGACTACTTTGTGGTTAGCAGCCAAATCCGCAGCCCCATGCCACGAAGACTCTTCAGTGACCTGATAGCACAGGGTAGAATTGTTCCCTAAGGTTTCCAAGGTGGTGAATCAGTCTGGAAGCAGACAGCCCCATCTTTCTCTCCCAGAGTAACTGATGGGTTCAAACCTCTGACCCTTTAGTAAGCAACCCGCCTGACGCCAGAGCTCCTGAGAAAGCAGATGAATGTATAGCTATGCACACACACATCACCTTTGCTGAAACCTTGAACTGCGTGATGTCTATAAGGGTAAGGAAACCATGGCTCCATCCTTGCCACCACAAACCTCCCTTTGAAAGTTCCCTTCAGCAAGCAGCTCTCGAGGACCTGCTGTGTGCCTGACCCCTGTGGGTGAGACAGGGGTGTGATACGGCTGTGATACGGCTCTTGCTGGCACACAGGACAGTCCCGGTGTGCTCTGCAGGTGCTGGCAGATGGGAGGCTCTGAAGGAGGGAACAGCTAGGCCGAGCTGTAGAGGCAGAGTGCCTCTTTGGTCCAGGCAGGATGGAGACCTCCTGGGTGCGGACACCTGGGCCTGGAGCTGCAGCAGCAAGCGGCAAAGAAGCGGCAGGAGTTAGGAGCCTGAGTGCCGGGCCAAGGAGGTGCCCTTTCTCCGGAAGGCAGCGGGAGACTCAGAAAGAAGCTTAAAAAAAAATGAAAAATTTCAAACCAGCTGAACGCTGGACAAAAGGTTCCATCCATATACTCCTCAGTAACTGTACACATTAGTAACACCGTATACTCCTCAGTAACACCGTATACTCCTAGGTAACACCGTACACTCCTCAGTAACACCGTGCATTCCTCAGTAACACCGTACACTCCTCAGTAACACCGTGCATTCCTCAGTAACACCGTACACTCCTCAGTAACACCGTGCATTCCTCAGTAACACCATGTACTCTATCACCGTGTACTCCTCAGTAAAACCATACATTCCTCAGTAACACCGTACATTCCTCAGTAACACCAGGTACTCAGTAACACTGTGTACTCCTCAGTAAAACCATACATTCCTCAGTAACACCGTACATTCCTCAGTAACACCGTGTACTCCTCAGTAAAACCGTACACTCCTCAGTAACACTGTACACTCATCAGTAACATCTAGCAATTGCTATATTCCCTTTATGATTGCTTCCTCTGGCCTGTTTTGTTTATTTTGCCCAAGTGTTTTAAAGTCAGTTATGAGGGTGAAGAAATTTCACCCTAACTTTCCTGTATCGTAGCTGTCATTCAGTGGCTCAGTGCCTCATCCAGCAAAATTAACAATACCATCATAGTAGCTGACAGCCCGCATGCAAACTTTCCCGAGGGTCCCCCGATGGGCTGGGCCGTGACCTGTAGCGATCTGTGACCACTTTGCATGCGGCTGCATTTCCATCTAGACCACTTCCCTCCTCCCTGCCCCCTCCCCCTTGTGGGACATTGGTCTGTGAAGGAAGCCGTTTTCCGAGAGAAAGTTCCTCCTTCCCATCTTCACTTGACCCTCCTGTCTCCTAAATCACTGATACACTGGGAAGTCTTTGGAGGGGCTTCAACGATGTTGGTTGTGCCTTTGGGACAAGAATACCTGGTAGGTGACACTCCTGAGTGCTTTAGCCCTGGTGGGTGAGGCCCCTCTGCAGTGTTTCAGCGTGAAGGCACTTAATTGCCTGGGCGATACTGATGCAGTAGGTCTGGGGTAGACCAGCAGTAGTGCCCAGGCGGAACCATGCTGTGTGTGTGTGTGTGTGTGCACGCGCGTGTGCCCGAGCAGAGCAGGGATGGGGAGGAGGGGCTGGGGACAGGATGGTGGGGCCATCTCAAGGGTCCTCTCCCACTGGCGGGCTGAGAAGTGAACACGGCAGGGAGCGGTCAGTGCTGTCACACCATCTTGCTTTCCAGGGACACCCCAGGCAATGGCTTGTGTCCCAAGGAGTGGCACTTTCTAGCCAGGAGATTAGTGCCTCTGCAACTTGGGGCTTTAGAAAGGGAGTGCTCCCTGGCAGGCCCCCCCTGGAGTGGTGGCCTCAGCTGCCCCCTTCACTGTGCCCCCAGGTCTTGGCCCCGGGGCCCCCAGGGGCTGGGGCTGGAGGCACTGAAGTGGGAGAGGAAGGAAGCGGGGAGCAGAGGAGGCCAAGGCTGCTGCTTCCCAGCCAGGAGAGGGGCTGTGAGTAAACAGGAAGGCCTGGCGGCTCCACGGTGGGGAGGGCTTGGAGGAGCTGGGAGGCAGGAGCCCAACAGGACATGCACAGGGGAGAGCAGGGGGCTCTGTCTCTGGGGAAACAGACCCAGAGAGGTGGTGGGTTTTGACCTGGGTCACACAGCCTCCTCTCCTGGACTCCGGTGCCACCCTTGGCTGAGTCTCCCCATCTGAGGCTGCAGTTTGCCCGTCTAAGTGCGTGAAGCTCTGACAATTTAGAGACAGGAGAACCAGGGCCCAGGCAAAGGCCGCCTAGGTGGCTCTCGGGGCCTCTTTAGTCTTTGGGGGGCAGTCTTTGGTTGATCAGTAAGACCAACATGACCAGCTCTCAGAGCCTTTTCCATGAGGAAAGAATAGGCTGTCTACTTCAGTGGAATTGGCCACCAAAAACCTTACGGATAGCCACGAAACCCGGCCAGGCACTGGAAACCACTGACTCAAACGTAAGAACATACTGGTGAGGCTGGCGCAGGAAACCCCGGGGGTCGTGTGGTGTGTGTGTGTGTGTGTGTGTGTGTGTGTGTGTGTGTTGTTCTATGGTACGGCGTCGGAACTCGCCAGCACCTACCATCCACCTTTCTAGAACAGAGCAGTGATCAGGGGGGCCACTGGCCTCTGTGATCACTCTGTGTCCTTGAAAGGTCATCTCCCTTCTTCAAAGACTCCCCCTAAAACCCACGCCCTGGGGATTCAGAATCACGCGATGAACTCCGGAGTCACGCTGCCCATGGATCAAGTCCACCCCTTTATCCCACAAGTGTTGATTGCACCGTGCTCCGATGCAATCGCAGCCCCAGGGCCCAGCGGGCCGGCAGTCTGCACCCACCAACCATTCCACCTGGGGAAAACAAGGCTTTCTGCTCCCCTAAAGGTCGACACGCTTTGGACATGTGGTCAGGAGAGACCAGTCCCTGGAAGAAGGACATCATGCTCGGTAAAGTCGAGGGGCA